CTTAGGATTTCTCTACATGAGGCATTCATTGTGTGCTCTAGACCCCTTGCTCAAGAAAGCTGAGGAGGCCTTCTCACACAGTTGCCATCCTTTCCCATGTTCTCCAGGCATGTAGTCTGTATTTTGCTAGAAAGCACTGTTATTCTTCACAGAAACCTAATGTATTTTTTCATTTTCGCTGTGCCCAACAGCACCATCTTGTCCTGTGTAATGGAACATGGAGAAAGGCAGAGAGGAGAACCCACAGAGAAATACGTTATGCGAAGAACGCTTTACTGCTTCTGCAAAGAAAATGGAAGCAGCAGCCTTGGTAAAGTGCCAGAGTTTATGCCTCATGTAGAGAAGCCCTTAAGGGAAAAGGAGCGTGCTTTGTCTTACAGCAGATGTGGGGAGAAGGTAAAAATGCCAGATGTTTTTGACTTCAATTCCCAGAAGACCCTATCAGCATGTGTGATGGTTAGGAATGCTGACGGATAGTCCAAAACACCTGATCTGCATATAGCCTATCCCTGCCTTAGGGGTCTTACCATTCCGTTAGCTGTGTGTTAGAACGCCCTTCCCCAATCTGCTGCCCTCCAGAGGTGTTAGACCAGAACTCCCATCATTCCTAGCCAGCATGGCTCATGCTGCAAAATCATTCAGACTGCACAGCATATCTGCATCCTATGCCAGTCCCTCTCAGCCAATGGACAGAGGCTGCAACATTCACATGCTCAGACCACGGAGATTAACAGCAATGAAGCCACAGCAGATCATTCAGAAAGCCATCACCTGGGAGAGTCCTCAATGGGCTGGACATCATTGATGTTAATCTCTTCTATGTGCCTCCCTAGGCATTATACTTCCACTCCGTTCATCCTGCACGTCTGAAGTGAACCTGCTTGCTAAAAGCCATTTGCTGCACGGCCTTCCCATGGGGAAGGGAAGAGAAAGATTGGGCTACAAGGGGAGTCTCTGTCTCTTGCCTCGGTCTCTCTCTTGGTGTATGTAAGTATGAACATGTGTCTGTGTGTGTGTACAACAAACTGAAACTGAACACAAAGCTAGAAAGATCCTTCATTTTTTATGGAACTGGAACAAAACCTGAACAGACTCAGCTGAACCTGGACTGGGATAAAACCTGGGGAAAAGGTCAGGTCACCTGTTCAGAAAAAGAGTTCAACAAAACAACAAAATGTGACAGTTAGCACATAAGCAGAATCAGAATGAGTGCACGAAATAAGCATTTTAAAATAAACTAATCACCGGGAGGATTATACAGTTTGGGTTTGTTCAGGCATCTATACTATGTCCTTTTCAAGAGCTGAGCCTGGGAAGAATTAGGCAGGGATTGACGGAATGCCCACTTCCTTTTTGCCTGAAGTTACAACATGGAAAGGATAAATATACAACAGGGAAAGGAAGACGTATTTGGTGACTCTGAAATGGTCCTTATGTATCCAGTCCTGGAAGCACAACATATCTGTAAATGTACAATGAAGTAAGGGTATGTCTGAACAAGAAGTTAAACTGTGAGCCCTAAACTGGGGCAGGAAAACAGGAAACGAGGTTATAGAAAGGAAGGAAATGCACTGTTAAGGTCAAACAGAGCTCAGCCCAATGAAGAGGTGTGAATACAAATCTTGACAGGGAAGGATGCAATAAACCCAATGGTTTGCAGTACATCTGCTGGATGAAAGAAATGGTGAGGGGAAGGACAACATTGCTTTGCAAATCGTCATGTAATGAAGTTGTTTGATATTTTTGCTTTATATCTACATGTTCTCACGAGAACCAATTTCTGAACCTTTATTGGTTTAAACCAGAACAGGCTCCATTGCAGCTGAACTTGAAGCAGAACTGAGCCATAAATATAATGGCTTGACTCCCTGGCATGCAAGCAGGTGTTAAAATGTGTGTGTATATAAATATCGGCATCCTATCAAGGGAACAATTGCTTTATAATGACAGGTCAAGACAACTGAAAAGTGATCCTGTTCTCTGCAGTGCAAGCAGGCAGCTTGAAACAAACTCTGCTGGTTCCCCTGTTATGATAAACAAGGCGAAGCTGGGCAGTTACGTCCCACTGGCTTCCCATAGCAGGGCCCAGAACGTCCAAAGAAGAAGTGCCTCCTTTTCCCCCCCTCTAAGGACATTTCTTATATTCATTAGCAGTATTGCCTGGGCACAAGTCCTGCAGCCTAAGGATGTGCACTTCATGCGAACTCTATTTCTTCATATTGGGAAGCTCCAATATGGGAAATGCAGCAGCTAGCAAAAGAGAGTAAGCACACCCATCACTGAAACATTGTCTACAGTTCTGCTTGGATGTAAACTCAACTTTTTACTCTCTCTTTTACTTAACAACCCATTGAATAATGAGAAGGATCTCCTTTATTTATTTATTTATTTATTTATGCATGCATGCATGCATGCATGCATATATTTATATCCTGCCTATAACTGCTAAAAAGCCTTCCTATTCATCCACGGCCTCAAAGCTCACCAGCTGGAGGGACAAATTTTCCCAATCCTCAGTGGCCTATGTTGAGTCAATGCTGCATATACAAATACAACTTCTATGAGGTCTTGTACACAAACATTAACACAGGAAAGTAAATGATTGCTATTTCTGAGTTCTAATCTGGAAGGAATGTGGGTCTTCTAGCTAGACTTGGAATATTTTCTTCCTCACTATTTATTTTAAATAGTTTCTCACAAAGGAGAGATATTCTCACATTGTTGAACTGGAGAGCAGAAGAAAGGGAATGTTTAGCTGGAATTGTTATTATCTGAGGCAAGAGAGGGAAAATAGATCAAGGGTCTTTGTTGGCTGGAAGCCCCAGGATGTCCCTGGATTTTGTGGCTTTTTGAGTGAAGGAAAAATTTACAACTGACAGAAATGGCAGGTGGTAGCATTTAAATATGAGGTGTCTTTGGTCCCCTGCCTCCTGCCTTTTACAAGTCACAAGAGATAATCAGCCATCAACACGGCAATGTGTATGTTGACAATGGCTGTACAAACATTTGTGCTGCAACAAAGCAAGAGGTGGGGGTGGGATTCAAGCTAGGTTCCCCGAAAGCTGGAAAGAGGTGTCCAAAGGACTAGAACAGAATGTTTTGGGCTTCAGGCCAAGCACTTCTTGGCCAGAAGAAGGTAAGAGAAAATATGGCTACCAGAGACCTCACAAAGACCTATTGATTGGCAAGAAGGGAGTCATGACAACTGGATGGGCTATAATTACAAGAATTAATGGCTGAGAAGCTACTTGTGACATATTAGCCTGCATTATGAAAGTTCTAATAATAGCATTTCATCTTACCATTTTCTCACTTCAGACTCAGAATCTGGAAGTTTTCTCTATAGCTACGAGTAAAATGGTGGCTGCTGGTAGTTTTTATAAATCTTCCAGAGCTAATCTTTGTCCCAAAGTAAGCTAGATTCAACTTGTGGAACTGTAACTTCCAGCCTGTAGAATCCCACTATGATGCTGCCGTGCATGCAGTTCCTCCTGCTAATCCCATTACCCAACAGATAATTTAATGCTTCTAAGCAGAGACAGTCCTTTTGGGAAGGTAGAGCTCTTTTATGGGTGCTGTTGACGTAATGAGTACTTCCACTCATCCTTTTCACCAAAAGTGGATCTCACTTGTGGAATGCACTAGACAAGATGCAAGAGAACTGGATGATGGTGATGGTGCAGCACCAAGTTGGATACAGCCCCTGGGAAGTGCAGTTCTTTGAAATGACAAGGAACTTCTCAGCTGTTCTGCAAGACTTCATTTCTTGTGTTTTTCAGACAACCGCAATTCCTGTGTTTCTTCTGGGCAGTTGTGATAGCTAAACCTGTTTGTGACCAGTTCCCAAGAAACCTGCAGTGTGATGCCCAGGCCACCCTCCTCTGCAGGAACAAGACAATATGTACTGTATCTTATAGGCTCCATGGATTGGGAAATCTACTAATCAGAGGGGTGTAGTCCCTCTTAGATGGTGTTGTACTCCCCTTGAAGAGATGGGTATGCAGTTGCAGGTGACATCAGTAGCATCTATCAGCTTTGGCAGGTCTATCAAAAGTAGCCCTATCTGGAGGAAGTGACTTTGCCACAGTGACACATGCTCTGCTTGCATCCAGACTGGATTTCCATAATGCTCTTTCTATGGGACCGCCTTTAAAGGTGGTTTGTAAACATCAACAGGTATAGGATGTGGCAGAAAGTATGGCCACCTTAACATGTGATCCAAATCCTAAACTGTGCCTAATCTTACCTATGGCTAGTGGAAATAAATCAGTTTCATAAACTGTGGTTTGCAGTCAGCTTGGCTCCACTAGTTATAGTAAAGTTTAACCATGGTTTGCGGAATTTGAGTGATGTGACAGGCCATAGTAAATAACAAACAGAAGCTTCTCAATTCCTCCTCATGGGTTCACCAGAAAAAGAATGGGGTGCATGCTTTCCATGATGGAAATCTCTTGTGTCATTTGAAACTCCTCTAGATGCATTACTATCAGTAACATGACAAAAATTATTTGTTATTCGTTATTCGTTATTTGTTTTTCGGCGCCAGGCGAAGACCTTTTTATTTAAGCGTCATTTTAATTGTTAATATTATTTGCTTATTTTATCTGGCCAGGACGACTTATTTAATATTGTTATTTCTTGTATTTTAATTTTATGTTGTGAGCCGCCCCGAGGCTTCGGCGAATGGGGCGGCATAGAAATGTTTTAATAAATAAATAAAATAAATAAAAATGTCAAATCAGTAGCTTCCGTATAGCCCAAAGTGCCTGATCTTGCTTAATCTTGGAAGGTCTGGTAGAAATCTGGATGGGTGACTTGAGTCTTGCATTGAGGAAGTGGTTGGACCCAACAGCCCGCTAAGCCCCTTCCAAGTGTATATCTCTGAATCAGTATTAATATATCTCTCCTCACCAGAAAAAAAAGGTACCCTGTGATGTCAAATAACAAAGTAGGTCACATAAACTTGGCAAGAGCACGAATACACAAAGACTTTACTTTACCCATAAAATGTGAGGCGAAGGAATCCAATACGTTGCCCAAGTTTAAGTAGTTCTCCCTGTCTACTAGCAGCTCCCGTTAGCAGCACAATTCCAAACTTCTTAAGGGTGACTAACCACTTGTACGTGCTTTCATCACTGAGCAACACCTCTTCAAAGGTCATAGTCGGGAGCTGAAGATCAGAGCCCCAATACTGACGTTCTGTAAAAGTCACATTCGAAAAAAGAAATATAGATACAAGTATGAATGTCCATGATATCTTATTTTAGTACTTAGAGATGGAATTAATACATCAAATACTTCTAAATGGGTGTCTTCTTTTAAATGTCAGGTTTATTCCCTCATATGTAAATTGATGCTAATCTAAACAGACTGGCGGGGTCAACATGGGTGGAACATTCTAAAAGTACAACTGTAGTGCAAAATGCTGCATGAAACTCTCTTCCTTGTGGTAACTTCCCACAGCCA